CCCAAAAAAAAAAAGTGACTGGAAAAGCATAACACTTCCTTTCCTCTTACTCTAAATGTTACTTGGGAGCAGACTGCCATAATCTGGGTGCTGGTGGGGGGGTTAGGGTTAAGAGTGGTGTGAGAAACGCAGAAGGAGCTAATTGGAGGAGTAGTTCATGACCTCTGTGGATGCATGTACCCTTTCCATTTTGAAAATGTTCAGTTCCTACTAATACATTTTAATATACTTGTAACCCTATTAAATATTACTTGGACCTGAACATGTTCTTGTCGGTTTCCTCTGAGTACCATTCTTGCATGCTTTCCTTTCTGGTGGCAACTCTACCTTTAGTTTGGTGTAGTGGTTAAGTGTGTGGACTCTAATCTGGGAGAACCGGGTTTGATTCCCCACTCCTCCACTTGCACCTGCTGGTGTGACCTTGGGTCAGTCACAAGCTCTGGCACAGCTGTTCTTGAAAAAGAGCAGTTTGTGTCAGAGTTCTCTCAGCCCCACCCACCTCACAGGGTGTCTGTTGAGGGGAGGGGAAGGGAAAGGAGTTTGTAAGCCGCTCTGAGACTCCAAGTGAAGGGCGGGGTATAAATCCAATCTCTTCTTCTTTCTCTTTATCTCTGTTTGGCCATCCCGTTCCCTCTCCTTTTCACAGAGATGCCACAAGGATGGTGGTGATACCCTTTCCTTTCCTACCCAAGAGTCCGCGCTGTGCAACGCCTTATTTATCAAAGAGGAATATTTGCATCTGTCATTTCCTCTCTCCCCCAAATCACAAGAACTAGCTTTTTTCCCTCCATCCTCATATTTAAAATATAACTGATTGGGTAATGTAATGCTTCTACATAGTTGTCATGGTTACTGTGGCTTTATTGTGCAGTGAGTTCTTGGGAGGGAGCCTTTGCCAGGAAGCACACAAGATGATTATGGGTTGGATCCAGTGGAGCGTTTTAGTGAATGGGATAATTTCCATCTGTGGAGCACGTCTTTTTCTTCTCTCCTCCTGCTGCTGCAGCCCAGAGTGCTGCTCCTGAGAACAGAGGACCTGCAGCCAACAGGGGGGTAGTGAGAAAGTCATGCTCCACAGACAGAAATCCTTCCACCCACAGAAACACTCTGCTGGATCCAAGTCTATGTCTCTCTAGTGGGAATCATGCTCTGGAGTTCAAAGTTCTTGATCTGTGAACAGTGTAAATAAAGAGGCAGCCTTGGCTTGTAGACTGAATCGGGCAAAATGGTTCTTGTAAAAACAGTTGGCGCTAGAAATGTAGTGTCTTAACCTGCAACAGTAATCCTGTGCTGCCAGGATTACTGCTTATTTCCTGTTTCGCTCTGCACTTCCATTCCTCCTCATGGCTTCTTTGTGTGTGCGAGTTGGAGGTGAAGAGTGGAGCATCTTGAAGCTATGTTCTTAGTTGCTTAGAGTACATATGCCATAGACATTGTTATACTCTAGGGAGGGACAAGAAGGGAATCGGTGTAGATGCTTGGGTGGAAGACATGCTTTGCTTTGCAAATAATAAGTGGATTCCTTTGGAGGAATTCCAAGCTGTTTACTCTCCTTTTTCCGGAACTGTTTGAAATGTAATATGATTGTGTATGTAGATCGGTTGAGGCTGTTCGTACTTTGTGATAGTTCTAGTACACCGTTCACACTAGCAAGGTTCCTTTTGTCTTTCCTCTGTCTTCTATCTAATCTTTTCCCTCTTTTTGTTTAAGGCACAGGAATCAGCAAGAGTGAGGTGGGTAGTTGGGTAGGTCACAAGGGAGTAGTACTGTTGGGAGGGGGGTGCTGTTGTTTTAAATGGATTATTTGTTTTAAAAAGAATTGACAGTAATATTTGAGTGGGGAGGGGATTGGTGTATCTCTGGCAGGCCCTTGTTGCATATGGTGAAGTTAGTGGCCCATTTAAAAGCCTTTCCTGTTGCGAGAGGAGGCTTTTCCCAGGCAAGCCTCCAGACAGCCTGAGCGTGCCCCACCTCAGCCGTGCCACAAGCATCTCATCTGAAGGTGGAGGGCTTAATCACTAAAACCTTGATCTATGCTAGCACTAAGCAAGTGTCAGGAGGGCTAAACTAAACACCCAACATTACTGTTTTGGCACTTGAAAAGACAGGGGGGGACGTTTGCATAGTGCCACACATCAATTTTTAAATGGTTGAATTCTCCTCTAAAATGACATTGTCAGTCACAAGTTGGTCACCATAGCATCTAGTTTAGCTCTCCGTGCTATCCCTTCAAGGTTCTAGAGCTGAGATGGGGTGAAATTCACTTATCCTGCGTGATACATTTTGTCTTTGTAGAGATTTCCTAATGCAGTTGACCCAAATGGAGCTTTAAAGTGGGGGAGAAGGGAGGAAACCTCATTAATGATTACTGAAAGTCCTCCGATAACAACTGTCGCTTGCCAGACAACTGTTTGCTTTGTGTCTTAAGGAGATAAGGCAGGATAGAAACGTTTGGATTTAAATAGTATATAGAAGACCTTATTTTTTCAGTCCTCAGATACTTTTTTTGAGTTTTGTGTCTGCTTTTAACAGGAGAGAGAGAGAGAGAGAGAGAGAGAGAGAGAGAGAGAGAGAGAGACAGGAACCGGAAACCTTCTTTTCTCTCTTCTCTTCACTTCCCCTTGCAGAAACGAGTGACTGTGCCCCAGTACTGGCCCAGGCCGTTCAGGATTAGCTTCCACTTGAAATAGGTTTGTTAGAATTCTGCTTGTGCTTCAGTACAGATGCAAAGAAAGGGGACAATCTAATTTACTTGAGAAGCTGTAAAGATTTAGTGAGGTGACTGTTAATTTTCTTGCTTCTCATTGCAGGTGGAAAATGTGGCTGTCAGGTACGTGTCTGGAAAGAAAAAGAGCTGCTTCTCTCTCTGCTGGCTTCTTATCTCACCTACTCTGCTGGGGGACTGGGTTTTTGGGGTTTTTTTAATAGTGGAGGGTATTATCAATAGAGCTTTTAAAGCCCTGAGAACAACAGTTTGGAGAGAGGCTGGTGTGCAGACTGAAGGAATGTAGGTAGATCTGTTCACCTGTGCATATCAGATGCTCGAAGCACAGCTGGACTTGGGTAAACTGAAGGCACTGAAACAGAGTCCCCAGGTTTAACTGCCTGAGTGGGGCTCTCCTTTCAAGGAAATGCCAGAAGGAGACCAGTAAGAGGGTGCGGTGGCACAAATGGTCTGTTGATCAAGTCCTGCAGAATTTGTGACCCATTAAGCCAAATGAAGCCCACCAGCTGTATATCATGTCCTGCCAGGTGATTCACAGCAAGGCACTGAAACAGAGTCCCCAGGTTTAACTGCCTGAGTGGGGCTCTCCTTTCAAGGAAATGCCAGAAGGAGACCAGTAAGAGGGTGCACCAGTGGCACAAATGGTCTGTTGATACAGTCCTGCAGAATTTGTGACCCACTAAGCCAAATGAAGCCCACCAGCTGCATATCATGTCCTGCCAGGTGATTCACAGCCTTTGTTGGTGAGGGGCTGGGAGGTTAGGAGCCAGGCAGTCAGAAAAACAGGCGATCTGTTGAGCTTCTGTTGTGCTGTTGTACATGGCTGGTGAGCTGCATTCGACCAACTGGGTCAGAAGTTGTGCTACCGGTCAGCCTTAAAGCTGCCATTGCTCTGTGTAGCTGCTGGACTACCAAGCTGCTCTGTTACAAAATGGTGGAGTCCTCTCTCACATTTCTTTCCTTGCTGTTTGCTTATTGAAGTGAAGGATTGCTGGAGAAATTTTCTGCTCAGTGGCTGATGGGGAGTGTGACAAATAATGACAGGTTTTTAGACAGCTCTTCATAGGCTTTCAGATACTGAGAAGAATTGGTTTCAGAGCATTGGGCCCACACCTCTGTTGAGTCCCTGCAGAAACTGGCAGACTGCAGGCTGCATTCTATCATCAGTGTGTATTGCCGTTCTTCATTGTTCTTGGATTTGGCTACTGCGGGGCTTGTGAGTGTGTTTAGTGTCTGGCTTTTCTGACCATAGGGCAGTAAGCAGTTGAAAAGCAGAGGAAAATAATTGGCCTGCAGAGGTCAGAACTTCTCCTGAATATTACTAGAGACTCATTCTTCAAATGTGTAGCATCCAGCTGGTCCCTGATATCTCTTTAAAGGTAAAGGTTCCCTTGCTCGAAAGTCAGTCGAATCCGACTCTAGGGTTGCGGTGCTCATCTCCATTTCAAAGCCAGCGTTGTCCAAAGACATTTCCGTGGTCATGTGGCCGGCATGACTAAACACCAAGGCGCACGGAACGCTGTTAACTTCCCACCGAAGTGGTACCTATTGATCTACTTGCAATTTCTTGCTTTCAAACTGCTAGGTTGGTAGGAGCTGGAACTAGAGACGGGAGCTCACTCCGTCATGCGGCACACTCGGGTCTCGAACTGCTGAACTACCGACCTTCCATAGCCTGCAGTTCAGGGTCTTAACCACTTGAGCCACCGCAGCTCTTTACTGGGAGCTTAAGAACTCCCAGTTTATAGGACTGCTGACTTTACTTAATGCACACTCACAGCTGCTAATGACACTTACTGGAATAACAATTTTAATAGCTTTCACTCCTGGTGCAACATTAGCGATTCCTTTGACTGGTTATTTAGTAAGAGGTCTTTCTCTCCTTACCCTAAAAACTCACAACAGTTTTTTCAAAAGGATCTTTAGTAGTGCACTAAGGCAATAGGAGCAGGAGTTGTGCAAACTGGATCTCTGTGTGTTTTGAAAATGAAAATAAAGTGAACAAGGGAGTCCTCTAGATAGCATGTTGTACATCAGTCTTGGGTCCCAGCTGTGTAAAGACTAAGCAGATTGCCACAGCCAGGTCACTCTTATAACAACTCCCGTGCCCCCACCCTTATGAAACTGAAAATTCAGGGTTGGACCCTGAATAAATTTTCTGTTGATGTGAAGTGCTTATCTTGTGGAATAAAATGCTCCTGTCCCGTCCCCCGTCCCCCCAACTGCAGCCCACTGATCTCATAGAAACATAGAGCTGGAAGATACCTCAAGGGTCATCTAGTCCAACCGCCTGCACAACGCAGGAAATTCACAAAATCCCCCCC